CTGCATGAGCTCCAAGAAGCCACCTGCCCCTGGTGGCCAGAGCTGCATTCATTGTCCTGGGTGATGTCCAAGGGTGTTAGTCCCACAGTCCATGTCTCCAGGGTTGGCGGGGAGCTGACACCCTATGCAGGACGCCCACAGTGGCAAGCAGTGGCCTGGGCCCAGGACAGAGTAGGGCCAGTGCCAAGCTGGCCCCAGAGCACGTGGGGGCTGGTACCACTGAGCGGGGTCCCGGCAGGGGGCAGCATCCAGGGAGTGATTTCTGCTACACAAGCAAGGCCTCACGCACAGGTATGACTACTGCACCAGCCGGTAGGTGATGTACCTGCCTGCTGTCTCACTGGGCCGAATGATCTTCACCACCTGCGGAGGGTAGGCACAGTCAGTGCGGGGGCTTCAGAGCACAAAGGGCAGCAGCCCTATGACCAGGCCCCGGCCCCTGACAGAAGGCCCTCACCTGGCCCCGCTTTATCCCGAAGTAGCGTGCCACGGGGTCTCCAGCCTGGATCCGGGGCAGCTGGTTCTCACGGAGCTTACTAGGATGGGTGTCAGGGAAAAGTCACTTGGGATGAGGGGGCTGGGTGGGCAGTTAGCCAGGCAAGGAGAGGGGGCAGGGCAGGGAGGAGAGAGGCAGGAGTGGGGTCACAGAAAGGATACTATCGGGCCAGTAGCTCTGTCACCTCCTCCTTGGTCATGACCACATGCTCCGGCACCAGCTGCACAGAGAAGGATGTCACCGTGAGTCACACCCAGGCAGTCGGCCCAGGGCTACAGGCCGAGAACCTGAGTGGGACTTGCTTCACTCAGGCCCCAGCCCCCACCCGCCCCTCACCTCATGCTCCGTGATGTTGATGAGCAGCTCCTGCTGTAGGAACTGCTCCAGGATGTACTTGGGGGCCATGTCCACCAGCGACTGTGGGGAGACAGAGTGCTCACTCTGGGGTGCCCGACCCGACCAGGGACTGTAGGGGCACAGCACTGGCTTAGGGAGCACATCCCAGCCCCTGGCACCCCATCAACAAATATCCCCACGTTCCAGGACTCCCAAAAAGAGGCAACAGGTAGGCCTTGCCCTGGTAAAGGGTGCTGTGAGGCGGCAGGGCTGTTCTGTGCCCCCAGGGACAGGCCCCTGCCCAAAGTCCCCATAACCCACAGGGTTGGGTGCCCTGGAGACTCCCAAGGGCCCGGTGTACCCACCTGCTTGGCGGAGGGCGTCATGCCCTGCTGCACGACAATAAGAGCACGCGTGATGTTCTCCTCCTGCATGCGCTGGCAGTACACCTTGATGGTCTTGATGCCCACCTTGGGCTCCTCTGTGGAAGACGGGAAGGGCTGAGGCTCAGGACAGCACTGGGAAGACCCGCCCCACAGGCATGCGGGCCCCGCAGCACAACAGAGCTCCACCAGGAGCCCTGGGTCACTGACAAGAGGGGATGGCTCTTCATCTGAGGTCCACCCTAGTGTGAGTTGCACCTTTCTGTGCACACAAAAGAACTCCTTGCTGACCCACGGAGGCATCTTGCCATGATGGGACAGCAGTCACGGTGCGTGGATTTGGGGTCACTAGGCCGAGTGTAGGTCAGATCTTGAGAACCCAAGACCACCTAAGCAAGCAAGACACTGGGACAGGCAGCTCAACAGCCAGGGCCTCCCAGCGCACTCCAGTCCTCCACGGCCAAGGACGACCAGAAACGCAGACAGCGCTATGCCAGACTGCAAGATGGGCGCACAACTCTTGCAGCAGAAACGTGACAGTGGCAAATGAGCCAGCAATGCTGGGCCTGGCCTGAGCCCAACCCCTCGACTCGATGCTGCCATACAGCAAATGACCCCACAGGACAGGGTGGAACTCCCCCTGTGCATTCCCAGATTGGAACTGTTTGCCGGAACACATAACCCACCCTTCTCTCACACAGCAACTAGTGGTTTGGAACTGCTGGTCCCTGTGGCACCGCCCAAGGGACTTGAAATGGGCCAAAGGGCATGGGCCACCAGCACTTGGGGCAGCGTCAGTCTCTGCAGCTAGAGGGCGGAAGTCACCTAAAGGCTATCAAAGGGCTGCACAAACAAGCTGCACATGGCCACACAGAGAAACGCGGTCCTGCCGCTTGACACATGGGACAAGGGTGGGAACCATTAGGCTGAGTGACACCTGACAGCGACAAGAGGAATTTATAGGGTCCCTCCCGGCTCTGTCTACATCCGCCTCTGACCTCTGACTCCCCAGCTCTGTATATATGCAGCCAAAACTTGGTGGGGAGGGGGGGGGGCGCACACACGCAGAGATAAAATGACCACTCTAGACAAAGCAAGAAAGAGCAGAGTTCTACTGAGGCCGAGCAAGGCAGGAAGGCAGGGGAGGAACCCTTGTCTGGGAAGCAACAAGGGCTGACATGGGCCACCGCTTGGCTCCAATGGGTGACACCACTGGATCGTGGGCCAGGCCTCGCTCCTGACACCCCACCCCCATCCCAGGGGCGTGGAGCTGGGAGCCCCGGGGGCAAGCCTCACCAGGGAAGAAGACGAACATCTGGTCGGTGGGGTCGTCGTTGTGGGCCACCAACACCGTGAGATCGGTGCGCCGAGGGCGCCCTTCACTCGGCTTGTCCCCAAACTGGGCTTTGAACTCCTCCAGCGTCTGGTCTAGCTCGTCCTGGGTGACCAGGTAGCCCCGGTCATGACACAGCTGCCGGGAGAAGGGCCCGAGCACAGGATGAGGGACACAATGAGAGCGACCAGGCGGGTCCCGGGTGGCCAGTGACACAGGATGGCAAGGTGAAATGCCCGAGCCCCGCCCTCTAATCCCACTGCTACCACAGGGCAGAGCCAGTGTGAGCCCCTTCCTGCTGAGAACAAGCTACCTTGAAGTCCCCTAGAGCTTCATGCTTCCCCCCCCCCCACTCCAAGCCCACACTGGGGTCTCTCCCAGCCCCTAGCGGCCCTGGGCCCCAGCAAGCTCTCACAGGAGGCTGGAGCTGGACCCCTCTCTCCTCCACCAGGGAGCCTCACCACCAAGCCTCGGCAGGCTTTCTCTGCCCTCCAGTCACCAGGGTTCCTTTGGGGTGGGGGACCCTGGCTCTTCAGTTCCTCCCTGTGTAATGCCAGTGGGCACCGGATGGCCCGGCAGTACAGGAGTGGGTGGAGGTCATCTGCCCTGCGCAGCCCCTCACTGGCCATGGGAACCTGGTGGCCAGGGCCGAAGCTGACCCGCCCCCC